CTACATTGGTGTGATTGTTGTTTTTCCCCTTGCTCCACTTCCTTCCACATTAACTTCCAGGAGAGTCTGCTTACTTCTACTCTGCACCTCCTGCAGTCTCCTGGATTAACAGGCTCCACACCTGTGTGAAGTGGCGAGGGGCAGTTACTCTCTCGAAAGATTAAAACCAGATGTCCTTCCACCTACAGGGCTGCATGGTGCCTGGACTCGCGAACCTGGTACTTGGAACTGTCGCATATCTTCTGACTTTGCCTCCCTCTTCTACTGTATTTGGTTATCACCTTTAATGGTACTTTTTTCAGGCTCAAGCACTGGCTTCCTTTTACTTACAGTCCAACTGCCTTTCATGGAATCTATGCGCCAATCTAGCAATACACAGCCAGAAATCAAGCTTGCCACTTACACTTGGCTACATTGTGCCCTCCAAACGGGACCCTGGTAGAGGCTGGTGAGCATAGACTGGACCACCTACACTCTGCTTGAAGTGAGCCCTGGAGCAGCTCTGCTCCCTAAGGGAGGAAAGAGGGGTGTGTGCTGCAACACACAGGGCTGTGCTTCCCCAAAATTCATACGTGCAAGACATAACCCCTCTCTTTCTTTCTTTTCTTTCTCTTTCTTTTTCTTTCTTTCTTTCTTTCTTTCTTTCTTTCTTTCTTTCTTTCTTTCTCTCTCTCTTTCTTTCTTTCTTTCTTTCATTTTCAGTACTAGGGATTGAACACAGGGCCTTCACACTGAGCTACACCTCCCACCCATTTTTTATTTTTGAGTTTGAAACAGGGTCTCACTAATCCACCAAATTACCCACGTTAGGCTCTAATGTGTGATTCTCCTGCCTCAGCCTCCTGGAGTGCTGGGATTACAGGTTTCTACCGTTAGGCCTGGCTATAAAGTCTACTCCTCAGTGTATTTGGGGATAGGGCCTATTAGGAGTAGTTAAAACTAAGTAAAATCATAGGGGTGGGATTCTGGTATGATAGGATTAGAGACTTTCTTTCACTTTCTTTTGTTTTCAGTACTGGGGGTTGAACCCAGAGCCTGCCTTCAAATGAGGCTACATTCCCAGCCCTTAAAAAATTTTTTTTAAAAAATATTTTCAGACAGGATCTTAAGTTGCTAAGTTGCTCAGGCTGGGCTCAACACTCATGATCTCTCTGCCTCAGCCTTGCAGAAGAATTAGAATCTTTATAAGAAGAGACACCATGCCTTCTTTCTCTCTCCCTCCCTCCCTCCCTTCCTTCCCCAGGTGCCAGGCGAAGATATCTAGGAAGAATCCTCACTGGAAACAAGCTCTGATGTTGGACAACCAGCCTCCAGGACTGTGAGAAAGGAAGCTGGGGATGGCAGCACACGCCCATAATCCCAGCACGCTGAGACGCTAGCTCAAGAGTGGACAGCAGCGTCTGGTCTCCGTTTTTTCACCTATGAAATCAGAGATCTCTAAAGTGCCCTGTGGGCTGGGGCGTTGCTCAGTGGCAAAGCACTTACCTAGCATGTGTGAGGCCATGGATTTCATCCCAGCACCACAAAGAAAAGCAGGGAGGCTAGCACGAAGCTCAGTGGTAGAACTTGCAAAAGGCTCTGGGTTCAAAGTCTCTAACTTAAAAAATTCAACATATCGGGCTGGGGATTTAGCTCAGTGGCAAAGCGCCTGCCTGGCAAGCGCAAGGTCGTGAGTTCGATTCCTGATACAGGAAAAAAACCCAAAAAAAAAAAAAAAAAATTCAACATATCCATGTATCTGTGAATGTCTATCCATACATATTTGCTTGTTGCTAAACTTTGTCCTGAGCCACTTTTAATAGGGGTGAGTGGACTGTTTTTATGGTTGCAGATAAAGTACAGAGCACCTAGTTGAATTTCAGATGAACAATGAACCCTTTTTTTAGTGCTATACTTATATTCCATGCAAAATGTGGGACAAATATTTGGGGCATTTGTTAAATCCAGAAATTCTAGCTATTTCTCTGCTATTCTCTAAATACTGCAACCTTGTAAAGAGATAGAACTGGACCTGACTTATCTCTGGATTCCCTTAGTATAGTGTAAGCCATATTTTGGATGTATATACTGAACATTACTAGATTTTATCTCTTTAAATTCATTTTGAAATTTTTATTAGTACATATTTGCAGTATGTAATGGTTATATTCATTGTGAGGAGTTGGTATGTGTATAAAACACATCTTAACTCTTTTTACTCCCCTATCAATGTCTTTTAGGAAAAAACAGCTTTTTATTTTGCCAAATAAATGTACTTCTCAGTTAAATATTAAAAGAAACATTAGTTAAAAAGAACAGCCAGTTAAACATTAAAAATTATAAAATAAACTTTAAGGCTTTTATAGTTAGCAATAAAATTTAGGAGGCAAGGAGAAGGAGAAGTAAAAACTTTTAAAATGTGTCATGTACATGTACCAATTCCCCCAACAAGGAATGTAATCATCATGCACTGCTAACAAGTACAAATAAAAATTAAAAAGAAAAAATAAAAGTCAGAAAAAAACAGCTTCTGGGAAAATTAACAGGATAATCAGACATCTCAGTTGATAAGTGATGTCTATTCACTTCCATCACTAACTCCATGGAGAGTAAAAGACAAAAGCTTTCACACTAGGCTTGTGGAAAGAAATCAGAAAGTAAATGAAGCCATGTCTAAGAAAACAGCTGGTCAACCCTACCCTACAATTCATGAAGAAAATCTGTCAAGATTAGAGCAATAAAACATGGTACAATCTGAAAAAAATTAGCTTTACAAAATATTCATAGTCGGGTGTGGTGGCGTTCACCTGTAATCCCAGCACTCAGAAGTCTGAGGCAGGAGGATTGCCATAAATTTGAGGCCAGTCTGGACTCCATGGTGAGATTCTGTCTCAAACTGAACAAAACAAAACAAAAAAACAGAATATTCATCATATTGTCCTTTGGTATTTGTTTCTAAGGCAACCAGGGTAGGCCTCAAATCAGTTTCAGATGGCTGACATTTGTGAGCTTTGGTTGTGCTGTTCACTTTAAGGGTTTGTTCAATTTCTTGAGCTTTTTGCTTTGGCTGCTAGGAAGCTCAAAGTTAAATTGGACCTCAACTGCTACAATTACCTTCCCCTTCACTTTCATTTCTTGACTCCTGTGCTTTTCTCCAGGCCTTTATACTTTTTTGATGAATGAATTTTCATTATAAGTTGCCTGATGAACTTCTGAAATATAGAATTTCTTAAAAGCTTTGTATACAGTGAGACCTCAATGGATGACATAGTTGGAAAGGAAAAGATGTGACTATTGAATGGGCCCTGATTAGTTTACTTGCTGAGGATGATTTTCTTAATACTGTGTTATTATTTTAATTCCCTATTCTTAGTGTTTTAGAATGCTAGTGCTAGAAATGCAATCACATCTTTTGGTCTAATTCCAGAATTCCCAAATTGGGATTTCTGAGGGTAAGATCCAAGAATTTATAAGCATTCTAGCCTCCAAGATTAGGATCCACTGGTCCACACAACCTCTTAACATGTATCAAAATGTGTGCTATTTTATAAGCAAGGCAGCTGAGACCCAGGAGAGTGAAAGGACTGTCATCTGAATGGATGACATGCATGGGGGAAGTGCAGAGCACCAGCTTTCTTAGCAAATTAGCTGACTGTTGGGGACAGAAGGAGAAGGGGCAGGGGCAGGTGTCCATTAATTAGTTTCTATTCACACTACTGAACATAGCAGGAAATGGGAGCTGGGTGTAGAGAAATGAAAGAGCTAAGATTTAGCTTGAATAATAGCGACATCCCTCTCCCATCTGTGCTGGGATTTCACAGTTCACTAAGCATTTCCCCCATATTATTTCACTTCAGCTCCAATGGTAAGGAGATTTATCAAGATGGTATTGTTTTCTGTCTCTCCAGATAAGAAATGAAGGCAAAGTCACTGGGTTTACAGGCCCGGTAAAAAGGGTAGAGTTCAGATTTAAATGCTTTCTATTGGTCAACTGCTCAGCCTCACTTAAATCCCATAGGCCAATCAATGTCTTCACCATTCAAAACAACTATTATTTCAAGTCATACAAGTTCTATATGGTTATTATAAGAAAATCCAAATCACTCAGAAAAATATAGCTTAACAGGTTGAAATGTATACCTCGCCTGTTCAGTTTGGAGAGCTTTTGAGTTTCCTTCTCAGATCTTTTTTCTATGTTTATATGCATCTATAGGAGAGATTATTTTTCCTTCTCTTGTTTTTAGTGGACCAAACTACACACGGTTGCGGTGCTTCCTTTTTCTTAATATATTTTGGCCATTTTTTTTTGCAAATCTTTAAGTAGAGATCTATCTGTTTTTAAATGAGCAATCTCGTGGGTACATTGATAGAGAATATTTACCACCAATATGTAATAATAGAGTTTGTTGCAGAGGGTGTTGGTGCTCAGAAATGGAGGGAGGTTAATTAATCCTGAAAATGTCCACTAAAATCAGGGGCTTTGGAATCAGAATCCCAAACTAGCTTAATAAGGCCTTGAGAAAAGTAAGAAGGAAATACCTGTTTTCCCATTCGTAAAATGGGGCTACAAACAGTCCGTGTTCCATAGGATGTAGCAAGAATTAAACGAGATCATTTATATTAACTTTCAGCACAGTGACTGATGATAACTGTGACAATGATAATGACAAAGCTAATGCTTCTCAGGTCCACGAAGGTGGGAATGGGACTTAAAATGAAAGAAAATTGCTACTAGGAATGGATGCCGCGGTAGATACTTCTATTCAGTGCTGCCAAATCAGTCTGGGTGTCTGGAATGCCCCCTGGAGACACGTCTGACAGCAAAACTCTAGTTTTGGAAATCTCAACGTGCCAGGCTTTCAGGAGCCTGCACTTGCCTAAACCTTTGGGGAAACCGAGAACTACAACTGCCAGAGGGCAGCACTTCCGCCCCGCCCCCGTCTCTCCTAAAAAAACTACAAGTCCCAGAAGGCTCTACAGTACCCGGCTGGTCTGGGCCACCAGTTGAAGGGGAAATTAGGCCGCATGTCCTGCTGGGAAGTGTAGTCCGACAGAGATCGAGTCTTCCTGGCCTGGCTGCTGCCGTAAGGCGAGCTAGCGGGTAGCGCTTGAAGTCGAGCTCTTGTAACCGTCCACCGAGAACAGGAAACTAGCTTCGAGGGGTTGCACAGACGCGCCTGGGCTCGAGAGCGGCTAGAAGGCAGCTGGCGTTCTAGACCTCAGAAGGTGAGAAGGGGAACCCAGAGGAAGGCCGCTGAGGCGGACGAGCCTAAATGCCACGGAGGAGGGAGCGGCCAAGAGGACAGGAGAATCCAAGTGGAAATAATAGGGGCAAAGTGGGGCGTGACGCCCCTTACCAGGAAACTGGGGTGAGGCACGCCCCGGAAGTGGAATAAGGCGAGGTCCCTGGAAATAAAGGCAGAGGGGTTTCTTTATGGTGGGATGGCTTGAGGGTTTGGGGCTGATTAGTGCGGGTTAGCTCACCAGGCCTTGGACTTGGGAAGTTTTGGAGCCCGGGCTGGAAAGTTGGTTAGCAGTATGTTACCCAGGAGGACAGAGCTGCTGTGCACTGGGAGCAGAGCCTTTCTCTGACTCCTTCCTAACTGCTGGTGGTTGGAGGTGTAACGTCTGGGAGGGAAGATGTTTTGGGTCCCTGTGTCCAAAGGGAGCCCCAGCAGGGAAGAAGACCTTTGAATCCTGCAGCTTCCTTGAGAGGCCCAACAGTACTAGTGAACTATGTCCTGTGTTGTCATTTTACACATTGCAGGGCGTGACTTTGGGTGGAGGTTTATTCGGAATCTTAATATAAAAAGGACCCAGCTCATAAGGAAATGTCTGGAATAAGTTAATTGGAAAAAATTCGAGCACAAAATAAAACGTACAGAATTACCCTACTGAATTAACAGTAGCTATTTATGGCTGAATAGATTACAGTTTAATTTTATCCTTTTCTGTATTACACCGTTATGTAGCATCTGGATTTTGTAAAACAAGCATTGCTGTTTTTTTGCTTTCTTATTCTTCCAAAAGAGCCACTTGGCTGTTGTATTTTGGGAGTAAGGCACCAAGGCCAGCTGCTCCGGCTTGCTCTGGGCCGTCTGTAAATTAGTTTACCAAGGATGTTAAGAGCGCTGAATACAAGGGGGGAATTTAGTGCATGTTCTGTGTGAGGCTAATGCTTTCTTTCTTCTTCTAGGTTGGAAAGAGGCTATTTTAACAAGTGTCACGCCATGGTATGTGGTTGTTTGGTCTATTTCCATCTAATCCTTTATCTTTTCTGATTTAAAATGTCACCTTTCTCATTATCTGATGGATTTAGGTTGCACTGCAGAACTCTTTGGGATCCGACGATTTACCTTGGGTGGGGGACGGGAAGGAGAAAAGTATTGGAGCTGAAATACCTTTTAGCTTTGGGTTTGCTTTTTCATCAGCATCGTTATGTACTATATGTTGCCTGCTATCCCTAGGTGTGCAATTTTGAATTAGCAGAGAAATGTTAATATATCCTTTACTTGCGCTTATGCATCTCCTGAGACAAAAGCTTGTTAAAATCAGTGTAGGAGCGTGGTCAATTACATGTTTATTTTGGTCTTTTTTCTTTCACAGATTTTGCCAACTTCCCAGTTAAAGGTTGACATTTCTGCATAAACATTTCCCTGTTAAAATGTCCTTGCCGCTTACGGAGGAGCAGAAGAAAAAGATTGAAGAGAATCGACAGAAGGCTCTGGCCCGTAGAGCTGGAAAGCTATTAACAGAACAGCCTCAGAGCACAGGCTGTGGTTCCTCCACTGCTGTCAGCCCTTCCCAGTCCAAGCAAGGCCCTTCCCAGAATTTCCCTAGGGGGTCTGCTAAGCTAGAGAGCCATGATGTCCTTTTCAAGCAGCAGAATGTGCATAATTCGTCTTGTGACCAAAGACCTCCTAATTCCCACCAGTGTCAGCTCACCACACCAGAGCAAGCAACGGGGATATGGAAGAGCCAAGGGATGTCCACAGCCTGCCCAAACCAGGGGCCCCCAAGTCAGGTGACTCTTACTGGGCCCTCTCCACCTTTGGCACAGAGTCCTCCAGATGTCGCTAGCCAGCAGCTCTTTGGCTGTAAGATGAGTCAAGGTCATCCTCAGGCTTCACATCAGACCAAATCGACGTCTGATGCTAACACAACTCCTGAGCTTTGGGCCAAAGCAAAGAGTTCCCAGGAGACTCCGGCTTCTTCCTCTTGCCAGCCCACCAGGGATCTGGAATTAGAAGCCGGAAATGCAAAACCTTCCACCTCAGGGCAGAACCTTTCTGACGTCCATGAAGAAAGACTCCAAGACAAGTTGAAGAAAGCAGTGTGCTCCCAAAAAGGGCTATGCATAAGGGAGGGAGATCGATTCTCAGTGAAGATCGGCTACAATGAGGAGCTCCTTGCTGTGTTTAAGAGTCTGCCCAGTAGAAGTTATGGTAATGAGACTTTTGTTCTGCAGGTGTTTTTTCTATTTTTAGAATCTCTTCTAATCTAACAGTTTCTCATAAATATTAAGAGAGTACATTGGCACATTCTGTCCATCCAGTTATTAAATTTTTTTCTATTTTAGCCAGTGTTTCCCTTTATAATACACATTGTCTCCAACAGCTGCCAAATTTAGGAGCTGTTCTCTCTTGGCCAGAGAGTGAACCCATGAGTATTTACTTAGAAGCCAGTCCCTCTGCCAGGTGTTTTAGATAATTATAGCACGTGAGCCTAAAAACAATTTTTTGAAGTATGTAGCTGTTTTTTCAGTTGTAGTGTGGAAACCGGCTCAGCAGCAAGGTTAAGTAACAGGCCCAGGGTGACTGGTCTGGAGGAGAGAGCCAGGCTGCGGCCTGTTCTGCCACACCCCAACCACTGTTCCTCTTGTCACATTGCCTGACTATACCAGGATTTGGGGAGCAGGATTCTAATCCTAACTCTGCCCTCAGCCCTGTTCGGAAAGGCCCCTAATGTGCTAGGGCCTGAATTGAATTTTACTAGAGGCAGCAAAGTAATTACATACATTTGCTAGTCATGGTCTCAGGATTTTGTAAATGAGTAGGGACTTGCTGGTCCACAATTTTGAATTTGGCGTTTTCAGAAAACAAGCTTTTATTGAGTGCCCAAGTACAAATTAAAGCCGCAGCCATCGGTGTTGTGTTTTATTTCAGATCCTACCACCAAGACGTGGAACTTCAGCATGGCTGACTACAGTGCCTTGAGTAAGTGCACATATCATTGCCACCATGGAGGGAGCTGTGGGCATTGAAGTTTCCCGGATGTGACCTAGGGTGCCATGTGTGTGTTGTGTGTGCCCTTACAGGTGGTGAGAACTTCCAGAGCACTGTCCGCATGTCCCTTTCCACTCCCACCAGCCGGCTTCTTGGGTGAAAGTCATCATTAATGTTAACAAGAGTTAACACCTAATGGTGCCTTCTGTCTACTATGATGTTCTAAGCCCCTCGATTATACTTACTCCTTATAAGAGCCGTTTTACAGAGGGGGAGACTGAGTCAGCAAGAGGCTGAATCACCAATACAGGGTCACACAGCCAACAAGTTCTACAACTCGGACTCAAACCACAAAGGGCACTAGACTGCCAGCTCCAGCAGGGATGGGCATTTGTGCCAGGCCCAGCTCACAGGAGATCCTGGTCCAGCAAACAGTATCAATTCCCACAGGTCTCTGCATGGCCAGCGAGCTTGAGAGCCAGGGTCGGGTTGCCAGGCAGGTTCCACCCTCTCAAGTGTCTGGTCATTGTCAGCCCCTGGTGGCATCATTTCTTCTGAGACTTCGTTGACTGTCCTGTACCAAGAGTTTCACCGAGGTGCTTGGATCCACACCTCTGTCCAAGAGACAGTCGTGGATCTTCTCATGTCCCTTTTTACCCATCCCTGCCAGCAGCCATTATGTGCCCACTTGCCCTGCCCAGGTCATGAAGGGAAATGACACGTGTGCTCAGATCACATCTCTGTAGATTTGGGATATGAGGTAGAATTCTCAGAGCTCGCCAGTACAGTTTCTGAGGGGTGATGGGGCAGCTTCTGTAGACTTTTCTGGTTCTCTCTTTGGCTTCATCCACTGCTATCCCTTCATTGTGTATTAGGGTTTTTTTGTTTTTTTTTTTTCCGGTACTGGGAATTGAACTCATGACATTGCGCTTTCCAGGCAGGCACTGTGCCGCTGATCTAAATCCCCAGCGCCCCCTGTATTAGGTTTTAAATCCAGGGACACGCTACCTCTGAGCTACATCCACAGCCCACTTTTTCCCCCAGTACTAGGGAATGAACCCAAAGGTGAGCTACATCCTCAGCCTTTTAAAAAAATGTTTCAGACAGGTCTTTCTAAGTGGTTCAAGTAGGACTTGAACTTGTGATCTCCTGCCTTGTCTTCCCTCAGTGCTAGGGTTGTACGCATGTGCCATCGTGTGTGGCTCTGCTTCATGAAATGTGTGGCCGTAGGCGTCGTCCCATTCTTTGGTAGCTGCTGGTGCCTGAGCTCTGTGTCTAGCCGAGACAGACACGGGCACGAACAGCAGAAATGTGTGTCCTCACAGTGACAACGGAAAGCTGAGATTAAGGTACTGGTGGGGTTTCTTCAAAGACTTCCCTCCTTGACTTTGAGCTGGCTGCCTTCTGTGTCCTCTCAGACCTACTCTGTGTGTCCAAATCCCTGTTTCTCCCTCTCCTGTAAACTCATCTTGGATTAGGACCCATCTTACAGATCTCATTAACTTACTTCATTTATTTATATATTTATATATTTATTTATTTATTTATTTATTTTGAGACAGAGTCTAGCTGTGTAGTTCAGGGTGGCCTTGAACTCACTGTGTAACCTAGACTGGCCTCCAACTCTTTTTTTTTTTTTTGGGTTTTTTTGTTTGTTTTTTGTCCTTTTGAGACAGTCTCACTGTGTAGTTCAGGCTGGCCTTGAGCTCACTTTGTAGCCCAGGCTGGTCTGGAACTCACAGCAGTCCTCCTACCTCAGCTTCCCAAGTGCTGGGATTACAGGCGTGTGCCACCTTGCTCAGTTTAGCCTCCAGCTCTCAATGATCCTCTTGCCTCAGCCTCCAGAGTGCTGGAATTATAGGTGTGTGCCAGAATGCCTGGTTTATTTGTGATTTTTTGAGACCACGTGTTGCTATATAGTTCATGGTGGCCTTGAACTCACTATGCCTTCCTCAGCATCCTGAGCGCTTGGATTGCAGCCAGTGCCACCAGGCCCAGCTGTCTCATTAACTTGAAAGGCTCTGTATCACAGCGACATTCGGAGATACAGAGGTGTAGGGCTCTTTGCAGGGACATGATTCAGCCCATTGACATTGCTGCTTTTTGGAAGCCCATTTTTTTTAATTCATTTTTTTTCATGTTGGAGGGAGACCCAGTGCTATAGGTTACGAGTGCAGGTTTTGACACCTGGTATTCTCAGTGTTGCTAATTTTAGACTAGTGTTTTCCACTGTAGGGATTTTATTTTGCCATTTTTTTATTCCTATTCTCTGACCACCGTGTTTGGTGACTTAGGTGTCTTCTGCTTTTGGAAATGTATTTAAGTTTTCTGGGTAGTAGGGTTGCTTTCTGCAGTGCTCCACATTTGAAAATAGTGTTTATCAGGCATAAAATTCTCTATGTAACTTTTAGATGAAATTTACTGATAGTGGAAATTTACTATCATTTCCCTCTATAAACCTTGAAATCTACTGCAGCACGTTTGGATTTGTGCGGTTCTTATATTTCCAAGTTTCATGTAAGTTAATAATTATTGTGTCTTTTTAGTAGACAGTACTTTTTTTAGTACTGGGAATGAAAGCCAAGGCCTTATGCATGCTAGACAAGTGCTCTACCACTGAGCCATAGCCTCAGCCTGATTATACCTGTTATCCGTGTAATGTAAAAAGAGTCATCAGTTTTTCTATCATTTTGCTTTAGATAGATATCTGGATTTCTTTTTCGTTTTCCTTCTATGCTGACGGTCAAACCCAGGGCTTCATGTAAGCTGGACCAGCACACTACCCCTGAGCTCCATCCCCTGCCTGGGGATGCTTTTTTAACTCTACCGAACATTCATTGTAGAACATACAGAAAGTGTACTGGCATGTAAAGAAGAAAAAGTATAGCCTATAATCTGCCCTATAATCTTTTTGCAGTGCTGGGGGTCAAACCTTAGGCTTTATACAAGCTAGGCAGGTGTTCTACCACCCAGTTACATCCCCAAGCTCTCTAATTGGTTGTGTGTGTGTTCGTGTGTGTGTATGTATGTGAATCCTGCAGTTTTGGTAAAATGGCTTTTTATTTCTCTCGTTATTTGTGATGTTGAACATTACCCCAAGTGTGTTCTATCATTTTTCCTATATATTTCGAGTTGGTTACATCTTATCCTTTCATTCATGATCGTAATACTCTTTTTCAGCATGCGCTTTATGTTTCTTGTAAATATCTTGGTAGTTTTGGCTTCCAATTTATTTTGTATTTTTTGACAGTTTAATTGTACATAGTCAAATCTCTTGATCCGTGAAGTGTATGTGATAAATAAAATAATGTTTGAAGCCATCATTTGTGGCCTGTTGGTCCTGTTTCTCATTGCCTAGTTCTCCAAGTAGTTGACAGAGTAGTGACCAGGGATAGGTTAAGTGTTTGATTATGGTGTGCTAATTTCTGTGGCTTCTCTAACACAACAACAGAAATGACCTAATAAGTTTACTCACCCTGTGCACTTACTTTTCTCCGTGTTAATTTCTGGATTCTAAATTTTTAAATTGGAAAAGCGTAAGAAGCAGAAGGGATATATACAGTATTTTTTCAAAGACAGGGATGAGCTGAAGTGTGATGATGTGTGCCTGTAACCCTGCATTGCTGGTGCAGGAGCACAGCAAGTAGAAGGCCAGTCTAGAGTACATGGGAAGGACCTGGCTCAAGAGACGCACATGCACAAAGAGACAGAGAGAGAGACAGAGATTATGTCGTGTTCCCTAGGTGGTCTCAAACTCCTGAGCTAAAGCCATGTGACTCCTACCTCAGCCTCGCATATTCAGTAAATGCTGAGATTCCTGAAGACCCAATTAAAAGACCTTTGTAAGCCTTCCTGATATAACAATTCCTTTCCTGTCCTTGTCCTAATTTTCCCTCCTCCCTTGCCTGTCTAAGCAATTTGGGGCCACAGAAGTCAGCCAGTTGTCCACCTTGTCCCTTACATACCTTTCCTCTTCTGCAGTGAGTGCAGCTCAGTGCCTCAGCACAGTCACCCTGCAGCCGTTGGAAGGGGTCGATGGCAGCAGCGGGGGACAGACTGGCCTTCCTTCGGCTCCGTCCCTTGCCTTCGTCAAAGGACGATGCATGCTCATCTCCCGGGCCCGCTTCGAGGTGGACATCAACTACTCAGAGGACCTGATTGCACTGTTTAAACAGATGGATTCCCGGAAATATGGCAAGTACTTGGTTTCTGTGTCATCCTGGCATGTACGGCGAGAGGTGTGCTGTCCTGTGTTTCAATATCCCAAATGACTTTTTGTTTTGGTACTGGCCATGGATTCCAGGGCCTTGCGCATGCTAGGTAAGTGCTCTACTACTGAACTACATCCCCAGCCCAACTCAACGATCATCTTGGTAGAACCTCCCTGATCTGCCTCTTTTACTGTAGAAAAGTGACCCTTCCATTGTCCGACATGTAATGGGGATTGTTTGTCCTGAGGCCGCCTAAAGAGAAGACCCCACAGCTTTCCCCCGTCACCTGACCAGTGGCATCTTTGGTAGAAGCAGATAAATTATGACTTCAGCCATTTAAGCCTATGTTTTTATTTTGGCCTTAGCAGAGCAGAAAAACAAGAGTTACCATAAAAATAAATACCTTCTTTTTTTGGTACTGGGAATCAAACTCAGGGCCTTGCTTTTGCCAGGCAGGCGCTGTGCTGCTGAGCTACATCCCTGGACCATAAATACCTTTCTTAGACTAAGATGGGGATTGAACTTAGTTCTTTCACACTGAGCTACGTCCCTAGACTTTGAAAACATATTTTATTTTGAGACAGGCTCTCACTAAGTCATCAAATTGCCTGGCTAGGCTTGACTTGCAGTCCTCTTGCCTCGGCCTCCCCCAGTCCTAGGTGTACAAGTGTGCATCACCACACCTGGCTAAGACAGTGATTTTCTAACTTCAGCATGCATGGGAACCCCTCAGGGCTTGTTAAAATATGAGTTGCTGGGTCCCAGTTTCTGATTCTGCAGCTGTGGGTGGAGCAAAAAATCGTGCTGCTATCAGACTCCCTGGCGCTGGTCCTGCTGGTTAGGGCACCACAGGATCACAGTGGGTTCCTGAAAACACTGGTGTCTTCCCACTGTGGCAGCTCACTAGATTCGCTGGGCTGCTTAAAAACCCTGGTGCCTGGTTTCCAATCCAGTGATTTAATTGGTGTAAAGTAGGACTGAGAGGGCGCTGGGGATTTAGCTCAGCGGCACAGCACCTGCCTGGCAAGTGCAAGGTCGTGAGTTCGATTCCCAGTACCGGAGAAAAACCAAAAAAAAAAAAAAACAAAGTAGGACTGGGACATTGGTGTTCTTAAAAATCTCCAGGTGAGCTTAGTTACTACCCAGGCTTAAGAGTACTGGCCAATGCAGAGCAACTTTACTTAATTTTTCTGTGAAGTTGCCTGGTCAGAATAGGGAGAGGCAGCTTTGAAGTCAGGACGCCTGTGATTCATTTGATGTAACTCTTAGGGATCCACGTCTTTCCACTCTTGAAAGGGTTTTAGTCTTTTCCTCAGGGAAGCAGAGAGCAAACCCCTAAATGCCATGCCTCAGACCTCCTGTTCAGCCTGGGTCGTGGGAGATGCCACCACAGAATTACCTGCTCCAGGAGAGCTTTTATTAGGGCCTGGGCTCCTTCATGAGGAGGGAGATGCTGGTGTTAGTGCCATCCTGTAGCTGATGAGTTATCAGATGATCAAACACAGACTGCTGGGCAGGGTGCAGGTGAGGTTGGCCAGGCCCAGCCCACTCATGCAGTGAGATGCTCACATGAGGATTCTTTGCCCCCACCCCTCAGATGTTTGGCTTAGCTTGGGCTCACCTTTAAAAGGCAAATACAGTGTCCTGTGTCTGTCATGGACTTTGCAAATTACACTGTGGACCTAGTCTGCTCCTTGAGGAGTAGATACCACTAAAATATCGATACCTAATCCTGTCCCCTCCAAGACTTCCAGAAATCATGGTTGGATTCTTCTCCATAGCTGTTACTCGTGAATTTTCCTGCCTGCTTCTGTGCTGCTGTCAGAGCCAGCTATGGTTGGGAAGGGGCTTTCTGGGCTGTTCCTTGATTCAAGGCTGTCTTTCTGGTCTGGTCTTCCCATCAGGCGACAGCTGGAATTCCTGGTTCCTTCCTGAAACTCTGTGTCCACAGTGCTTCTCTCTGACCACCTTGCTTTCAAAATGACCTAATAGAGAATTGACTTTTGCTGCCCAGAGCATTAGTGGAGCCCAAGCTTTTGCCGAAGTTTTCTTATTTTCTCAAAGGGTGGATTGGTAGAGAAACCCCTTTAAATAATTAGCCAGTGGTGGGTAGTAAGGTGCTCTCCCTTCTTAGTTAATATTGCATGTGTTTTGTGCTATTCTATACTAATTAGCAGATGACATAATAACATAGCGGTAATTCATAACCATCTTATTTTAAGTGTTCATTGTTTTTCAGGCTTTTATCAGCATCTCACATTTAAATTTCATGTAATCTTCAGGATAACCTTGTACTGTACTCATTTTTCAGATGGAAAACCTGAGGCACAGAGACGTTGTATAACTTGCCCAAGGTCGCACAGTCAATAAGAGGCAGAGCTAGAATTTGAACATAGACAATTTAAACACTCTGATAGCTCCACAGTCTGCACTCTGCTGCTCGTTTCCCCTATGTAAAATGAAGCTGATAACAGCACCCATCTCACAGAGTTGTGAGGGCAGATGAGAGCATGGGTGTCTCTTGGCATCGTGCCTGGGTTGAAGTAAGTGCTGATAGTGTGAGCTACAGTAGTTATCCCTGTCTTGGACATTCAGGGCATTTCTGACCTGGGTCACTTCCAGTCACACATCCCTGTAGCACCTTTTATCACAACCTTCCAACCCAAGCTTGTCACATCCTTGCCTGTCTTTCCACCCTGTGTACTACAGGTGCCTTGAGAGTAACTATGGTCTTCATTTCCGCATCCCTGGTGCAAGCTCGTGCCCAGCCACATTGCTGGAGGCTGACGGAGGTCTCCACCGCTGGGGAGTGAATGAGTGAATGTAGTGATGTGGTAGGATGGTAGTGTGTCCTGTCTGCTGATTTCTTTCTTCTCATTACAGATGTCAAGACCAGGAAGTGGAACTTTCTCTTGGAAGAGCACAATAAACTAAGTGAGAAGCCCACCTTACTTTTTTAAAAAAATGATGCTATTGTTAAGCTTTAAGGGTCTGCCTCGGATTTAATGTCTTTTTCCAAGACATTAAAGACTGACACACCGCCTTTGTGACAGCCCATATGGATGCTGGGCCCTTGGCCCATAAGGGGAAGGTGATGCTGTTAAGGTTCTGAGGCATGGGAAGCCTTCCTGTTCCCACAGCTGTATTAGAATGAGGGTTATGGACTTTGGGAATCAGAGGTGAGCTGGGATTGCTTAGCTTGATTGGAAGCTGCCATGGATGACCTCTAGGAGCAGGCTTTCCAGTTACTTCTGCCACTATGTGCTCATGAAGGTAGGAGGGTCTCAGGGTTATGGCCTCATAATGGAATATGTTCTGCCAGGTTCAGAAGTCCTGACTGGGGAATGTCAGCATGAGGCACATCAGGAGCTGACCAAGGGAACCACAAGAAAGAGAAGCCACTTTGGCTTATCATTTTTCTTCTGTCTGTCCACTTGGATAGGGCAGTAAATTCTATTATGCCTGAGAAAGCAGGCCTGCTCATATCTCAGCCTGCCCTGGAATGCCAATGTTATCCATCCTCCAAGCTGTGGTAATTCTGCAAGTGAGGATGCCGCTAGCACAATGTATGTTCACTCAGGCCCCTTATGGGCTCACTGGGCCATCCAGTCAATGTGCCAGTTACCCAGGAGAAATATTACCCACCCTGGAAGCCAGGTGTCATTGGCTGTCTTTCCCGTCAGGCTTTAAGGAAGAGGGGAAAGCTGGGAAAGTTTCTTCCCTGTGTCTTCTGCTTCTGTGTCGTACTGTGTGATATCAGATAGGTAATTCAACATTCTGGTTCCCATTTGCCCCTTCAGTAGAAAAGGAGATCTTTAATCCCCTTACTGATACAGGAATTAAGTATATAGGAAAAGCTTTTGGTACTTTGAGGAAAGACTTGGTGTAAATTACAAGGTTAAGTGTAAATAGGAAGTGATGCTATTTTAAATAAATAGCAGCAGTAAATGCTGTCTGATGCAGAAAGTATAGTTGATGTTTGTCTAAGGCTAAGGCTCTCTGGCTGCTGCTATTTGAGCTTGTGCCTTAGAACTATTTGGCCAAACCTGATTTTTTATTATAAATAGCAGTTAGTTCTTTCCTCTCACCTCTTTGTCTTTTAACCAAGAAAAAACACATAAGGCCGGGCGTAGTGACACATGCCTAGAATCGCAGCACTCGGGAGGCTGAGGCAGGAGGATCACTGTGAGTTCGAGACCAGCCTGGGCTACAAAGTGAGCTCAAGGCCAGCCTGAACTGCATAGAGAGACCGTGTCTCAAAAAGACAAAAAAAAAAAGAAAAAGAAAAAGCACATAAATATGTTAGCTATGAGGGCTTTGATATTTGTGGAATAACAAAAAGCAGGATACTTGCACCATTAGCAGATGAATATAATGGAAAAGATCATCACTCAGGTAGTATTGTATATAGTGGTTTCAAATCTTTTGTGGACCGTAGGCTCTTTAAAATATTTAATGGACACAGTGGGTTCTTCACCCATAAAAACTTACATAGTGCATGCATATAAAAGCTTGCATTTGGCTTGATACTTTCATGAGTCCTGAGTTAGGAATTCTGGATTTAGGATTGTTACATGTTGGACCGGGGATGTAGCTCAGGTTCATAAGCGCTTACCTGGCAAGCCTGAGGTCATGAGGTCGATTCCCAGTACAAAAAAAAAAAAAAAGGATTGTTACATGTTTTCTTTTCCTTATGATGTCCCATGGAAGACAAGAATGAGCCTGCTTATTTTGCATATGGGTAAATGTTTGAGCCCTGAGAAAGAAAACATTTATTTTCCTTTCTGGGAGCTTTGCAGTCCCACAGTAAAGTCAGTGACAGAGGACTAAAATTGCCATTTGCATTTATAACTGATCCATTATGACACTTTTGAAACCAGCTTCATGAACTAAGAAGCTGGGGTGGGAAGGCATTGCAGACTCTAGTGCATCTTCCAATTCGGTTCTGATTCTACCATTAACACTACAGACCAGGTGGATCTGCACTTCTCTCAGCCTGAGGTCTCCTTCCTCCTGTGTGAAGTTAGTTTACTGGCCCCAAGCTGGTGAGCATGTGCATGGGAAGCTAATTAAGAAAGGGCAGTAAGACCTGAGGGAATGAATGCTCACTGATGACATGGTGAGAGTTATTTTGTCTAGTAAAGCAGATCTAAGAGCTTGCTTTCTCTCTCCTTTCTAAGTGACTAGAGTCCTTCTGCCCGCAGTGAAATTGGCATGAGGCCTTTTGTTTTCCCCTGGCTGTCACAGTCCAGAAGGGTTGTCAACCATCTTGTCTTGTCAGCTGCTATTTGAAAACATTAGCATCTCTCAGCTGTGTGGCTACTAGCATTCTGCCAAAGAGCTTTTTACAGAAGTGACTTCTAGATGACTCATGAAGCCAGACAGCACATGCCTGTTATCTCTCAGTACCAGAGAAAGGACAATAGAGACAGGCGTTGACAAGGATTGGTGATGTTCTCCAAAACACACCCAGTTGGCAGAAGTAGCAGCACAGGATTTTGGAGACAGTAGTTGGTAGAAGACAGTGGATGTTGGATTTTTTTTTCTCCTTTTAAATGGCTGAAAGTACATAGTGCTTCCAAAGGACAGCATTCCATACCAGCTGGATCGTCATCCCTGAGCTTTCATCCGGTACTTAAGATATAAAGATCTCTAAGATTAAAATGAAAATGATTTTTGCAAGTACACACAGTGCTCAGTCTCTTGAAGTATGCAGAAATCAGCGTGGTCAGATTTAATTTGGAGATGGTATGTCTATGTCACTATGGGTAGCTGATTTTTATATTAAAGCTGTCAACCTTACCTAGTTGGCACTATGGTAACTGTTCATGGAAACTGTCCAGAAGTAACAGGTACTTATCTTTAATGAAGGCTCGAAATGGGTCTAAATGTATTGAATGCACAAAGCAAATACATGTAGCAGTAGATGGCTTAGACTCCCACGTTGACATTAGTATTTGCAGGGTAACTGACTGGTGGGTGTGGTAGGTGACTTTTCGAATATCTTGTGGGGATGTTAAAACATTTGATCACTCATGACTACGGAACAGAAAACCAACAGCTTTGGAATTTCAAGTAATATTGGGTAGAATAAAATATACCTTCTTTCTCCTTATGGTTTTGTTTACTGAGGTTTTGTTTTTGTTACCTGAGGACGGTTAGCCCCTTGGCAAGTTACTGTGACTTCCAGGGAGCCCTTGGAAGGGTAAAAGAAAAAAAGTAACTGAAGGTGTGTAAGTAATGGTTGCTCTCCTCATTTGATTTTTTTCAAAGCATAATGATAAAAGGCACTACCTTGGAAGCTACCACCCACAGGACAGCAGGTTGTGATTGGTAGTTTACCATTATTCTATCAGGGATCTCTGTCATCTTCCGTCATCTTTTTCTGTCTCTAGTATATTCATTTTGTTTTTCTGTTAAATAAAGGCATGGGTTTTTATTTTATTTTAAGATTAGGTGAGGCTTAATTACTTGAAAAAGCATATTCAGTGCAATTAATGGGCTTTCATTTCCATGTAAATCCCAGGTACTTTCTTTTTTCCCCTGAGATTAATGGCCCTGACTAGATGAAGAGGTTTCTCCATCCCTTCTGTAGGAGTTTAGGAACTGCATACTTGAAAGACAAGTAAAGGGCCCTAAACTGAAAAGTCCAAGTAGTGATTACTCCGAGTTACAGTGCTGACTCTAAGGTTAGCAGGTGTTGCTAAATTTTTTTTCCTTTTTCTTTTTTTAATTACTGGGTATCTAACCCAGAGCCTTACAAAAGATAGGTAGCTGGTGTGGTGGTGAACACCTGTAGACCCAGCACTTGGGAGGCTGAGGCAAGAAGATTGCCCTGAGTTTGAGGCCAGCCTGGGCTACATAATGAGTTCAAGGACAGCCTGAACTGCATAGTGAGACCCTGTCTAAAAAAAAAAAAAGGTAGGCAAATGCCTTTCTTCTATGCTATGCCCTTAGCTGGACAAACTTTATTTATTTATTTATTTATTTTTGTTTTTCTGAGCCAAGGTCTCTCTGTGTAGTTCAGGCTGGCCTTGAAGTCACTATGCAGCCCAGGCTACTCTTGAACTTGCAGCAGTCATCCTTTCTCAGTCTTCTGAGTGCTGGGATTACAGGAGTGCGCCCCCATGCCTGGCTGTTCCAGGCTTTCCTGATACACTCTTGGCATCTCTGTACAGAGCATTGTTTCCGCCCGTGGACAGTAGGTGATTTAGTGTTCATTGCCTCCTCAAATTGCCGGGAGTGAGTTCAAAGCCAGTCTGAACTACGTGGTGAGACTCTGTCTTAAAAAACAAAAACAAAAAAAACCCAAAATTAAGTTATAAACATCAGTCACAGAAACACTTCACAATTTGTTCCATCATTTGTGTGTATTCTCCCAAATTGCGTTTGCTGTACTGACTGGCCTGTTAATTGCAGAAAGAAAGGAACAGAAAGAGAAAACGAGTGCTCTGGGTCATGTACTCAGGTAGGACCCAGCTGGCAGTGCCCAGTGTGCCCTCCAGGTGGCCTTTTGGGAAGACGGCGGATAAAAGAAGGCCACTTACTGAGCCATGTAACAGGAGCCTCCTTCCCTTCCCCGTACCTGTCTGCACATGAACGCTGTGCCTCACGCACCTCTCTTCTTCTTTCCAGTTATGAGAGCACGCGCGCTCCCGCAGGTTCAGTTGGAACCTCTGCCCAAGACACTCACCCTGGCGTTTGCGTCTCAGCTGGAGAAGACCTCTCTCCAACTCACAGCAGATATTCCCGAGGCAGACCTTTCTGGAGTGGATGACAAGCTTGTGTCTAACCTGATGCCCTTTCAGAGAGCGGGAGTGAAGTAGGTTCTTGATCTTCCTCTTGCTTGAATTTCATCACTCATCTCAGACTACATTCAAATGCTTCCTCTTTTATGAACACTCACCTTCATGGATGGCTATAAGCATTGAGGCATTAAGCAGCCAGGTGTGCTATTACCAAAACTTACCACTGATTCCTTGAGTTAGCCGAAACTCTGGATCACAGGTGTGCAAAAACCCAATTCACACTAGCCGAAGGAGGGAGATTTCTCATGGTGAGCGGCAGAAAATCTAGCATCTCTGAAGATTGGGCCAGTATGTTCTGTCCGTCTCTCAGCTCTGCTTTCATCTTAATCTGCACTGTCCTCAGCCAGGTGCTCCTCCATGTGGCAGCTAGCTTAGCAACCCAGCCAGAACAATTCTTTCCTGATGGATCTGACACTGCTGTGGCTTAATCTGATGATACTGGAGCCAGTTGTACGGGTTTGGAGACTTGAAGTCTTGCTCATTAGACTCAGAGGCAGGCCCATCCTGGGAGCCAGGGGTTAGGGCCTTCCCCACCTGAACTGAGAACGACTCTGCACAAGAAGGTCAAGATAAACTAGACAGCAGGGATGGCTAACATTTTAGAGCAGAGTGCTCTGACTGCAAGCCAGAACCCATTTATTGCAAAGTGCCAGCACTGAATTAAACCTAAATACTGAGGTTTTAGTTTGGAAAAAACTCATACATAAACACCTTTTTTCTTAAGAACAAACAACCTGTACCATAGGTTCATCACCAGTGGTATAGAGAGACAGAAGAGAAACTGATGCCTGGCTTGTCTTTTATTTTCAGGTTTTTTGGGAGAAGCCACACGATAGGTCTGAAGTGAGCATGGTAGTGCACAGTGTAATCTGAGCACTTTGAGAGGCTGGAGCAGTAGGGCTGCACATTTTGAGCCCAGTATTGGCAATTTAGTGACTTAGTGAGACCCTCTCTAAAAATAATTTTAAAAGGCCCTGGGTTCACTCCCCAGTATCACCAAAAAAAAGGATTTGCACTGAAAATACTAAAGTTAAAGAGAAGGCCTCAATGGTCCTTGCAGAAGTAATGTGATTTAGAGCTGTTCATAGGCAGCATGGCTGGAGGCAAAACCTACACAGGGGAAGGAACCTCAGTTATCAGTGGAGCTGACAAGCCACCAGAGCTCGCCTGCTCGGAGCCTGATCACGGTGTTTAGTTTGTGAAAGCTTGGCCACTACTGTTACGGATGCTGATCTCTATGTGCCACTTACCACAACCTTACATTTTCATGGTTCTGGCCCTGTCTGCCACCTTTTCTTCCTTTCCCCTCTGTATTAGTTACTTTCCCGTCACTGGGACAAGATGCCTGATAGCCCCAATTGAAAGGAGAGATTGTGGCTCATGGTTTCAGTGGATTCAGGCCACGATCAGCTGACTCCAAGGCAGAAAAGCAGAGTGGAATGTCAGGGTGGAGGAAAGCTGTTCACCACCTGGCAGTCAAGAAGCAGAGGAGGAAGGCAGGAGCTGGGGCCAAGAATACTGCCTTCTAGATCATGTGCCCAGTGGCTCACCCTGGCTCTTCCTCTGAAAGTGGGACTTTTGGAGGGCATCTTACGTCTGGACCATAACATGCTCCCATCTTCTATCTCTTAGATAATACATTTTGCAGAGTTTCATCTTGCTTTGCTATTTCAATGCCTCATCTGTTAGGATGCTCTTTGGGCCTCATTTTTACCAGGCTCGGGGTGGTTTATCCCTCTGATCTTTCTTCCTTTGGCTTTACTGTAGTTGAGACAGGTTGCCCACTGTGCCCATTAGGCAACCCCTGTCTGCTCTGTCCAAGTCCTTAATGGTCTATTAAGAGATCCTGGAGCCTGTGTGGTGAGTGCTGGTCTTGCTAGTTCACCCCATTGGTGAGGGGTCTTATGTGCATGGTACCCCAGTCAGGTGTACATGTGACTGTAGCTTTAGCTGTAGAACCAGAATGTGGCCCGCAAGGTCATCATCTTTCTCTCTGTGGCTCTGAAGCTGCTTATGGTCCTTGTAGACTTTCTTTAAAACTTTCTAATTAAATCCAGATTTTAGCTTTCAACCTCTAAAAGGGTAGAGGTTTGATATAGGGGTGAAGAGGGCTGTCAATTCCATGTTTTTTTTTAAAATGTGAGAACTACAGTTGAGCAAATTCATAGAGCAGAGTCTTGTGGACATAGCGCTTTTTTTAATGTCTACATGGTCCTGTTCAACAGAAGAATGTTTCAAACATCAGAATCACTTGCCTGAAGTCATTCAGCTATAGAAATGGAATTGAGCTGGGAGTGGTGGTACACGCCTGTAATGTCTGCATTTAGGAAGCTGAGGTAGGAGGAGCACTGTGAGTTCGAGGCCAGCCTGGGTTACATAGTGAGTTTAAAGACAGTCTGAACTACGTGGTGAGATCTTGTCTCAAAAAAAAACAAAAAAAATTGAGAATTAAATCTGTGGTTTCTGATGATGAGTATAGCATCTTTTTGCCCATCATCCCAAATTACAGAAGATGTATTTAGCTGAGTTTCTGTGTTACTCAGGCCTTTTCCTTGTTGTCTTCAGCAGTGGGGTCGTGGGGTGCGGAGTGGTGCTCTGTTCTTTAGTTGGGCCCCTTCAAGGCAGGGAAAAGGGAAAGAATGTGAAATTCAGGGAATCCATTCTCCTTTGAGAATGGCCAGGTGGACCAACCATCTGCAAGCTGTAGGCAGCAGAGTTGAGGGGGCTGAGACAGAAGTATTAGAAGGGTGTGGTGTTCTCCGTGGATTTTATCCCTGCGGTGCTTTCTGTCCTCCTTGGCCACCAAATTTGCAATTTTTATACCTGACCTCCCCCCATTTGTCCATGATGTGGGTTGATCTCGGAAATGGTCCAGGTGATTTCAGAAAGGCAGAAGTGCCAGAGGAGCCAGGCCTGCTGCAGAGAGGAGGTAGCATCCACTGGGGTTCTTTGTCCCCCGGTGGAGGGATGTGCTGACTGAGGCTGGAGCTGTTGGCATGGGTGCTGCCTCTCCTGTGGGGCTGCTGTAGCTGCTGGAAGGACAGAAGTGACAAGACATAATGCCCATTGTTGCACGTGCTGTTGGGCCTTTGATGGATCAGCCTCAGGTCCCACAGACCTGCTGCTCTGTTTTCCTGTCTTAGGAAATATTGTTCTCCCACAATCAGAAAGCCCTTGTGCAGCCTGGAAATCTTGCGGGCCATGCCAGTGATTAAAAGAGATTACGTTCTCTGTTTATGTTGTATAAGAAGGAAAGAAAACAAGCTACTATTCCATTTGTTTCCAAGCAGATAAATCAGTTTTTCAGGATTTAAATGCATGAAGACTGAGTTTGGAGTAAAGGATCAGGGATCTGGTGCTCAGGATCTTCTTCGCTTTTCACTGATTTATCCTTGACCCACGTCATTTTACTGTTTGTCTTGTTCATTTTTCTTCTTTTTGTAGAATAATAGTTACAATAGAAAGACTTCCTTAGCACTTAGGAAGGTGCCAAGCACTGTCTTAAGTGCTTTGTGTGTTGTCTTAGTCCGCCCCACACTCCCTGGGGCAGGTTCTGTTGTTATTCCTGTCTCGCTGTTGTGGAGACTGAGGCACAGGGTGCAGAAAGGTGGGCGGCTGCTCCACAGCAAAATTGGGATCCCAACTCAGGCCCGGCTGGCTCCCGGTCGAATCCATTCTCCCCACACAGTATGAGCCCAGCTTGTTGCACTTCAGGACTTCTGGCTCCTGAAGGCTGCTGGTTAATGAAAACCCTGTGCTGAGGTTGTGACCCCTCTACACACGCGCCCCACTCCCATCCTCTCCTCTGTGTCTCTCTCTGGTGTATCCAGCACTTCTTGTCCCTTCCAGCTCCACTCTGCCTTTCTGCAAACAGAATATGCTCTGATCTTCGGAAGGCCATTTTATTCTTGCTTCTTTCTGTACTTCTAGGCAGATTGCCCAAGACGGTCACAGCCCTGGTCACACCTCTTGTTCACGTCCCCCTGGATTGCCTGTGCCGGGATCAGGCTCACTCTTCTCCTTAGAGCCTCCTCCCTTCGTTCATGTGACCTGCTGGTCCTCTAGATCTTCTCCCTCCCACAGGACAGCCATTCCACATTTTCCATGTCTTCCCTCGCTCTCCTTTCCTTTTATTCTGCCCCTTGCCTGGCTCTTGCTGTTTCTGTCTGGAGGAGCAGGTCTTATAGTACCTGCCCTCAACCTTGTGTTGTAGAAGCAATTTTAAATGTAAAGGAAATCTTAAAATTTATATTTCTTAACACCATCCAAGGATGAATCTGGGAAGCGCAACCTGTTCCCACAGTTAGAAAATTGTAAAACTTAACGAGCCTTAACATTCCAGTGCCAGCTGCAAGATAAGTGTGGCTCAACTGGGGTCCATCTTGTTATGTTTTGCTTCAAGTTTTTCAAAGACTTATCAAGGACATCCTGGCTCAGTCTTGGGCGATGATTTATTCTTGCTGGTCACCATAACCTGGACCTCCTTGTTACACAATAGTAACCCCAGTTAGCTTACATAAGATAAATTCTTCCTAGCAATGTATGGCAAGACATGTGTAACCAACTGTAGAATATCCTGTTATCTGCTTTTCAAACTTCCTCCTGAAAGCCTGTATAAGTAACTGTTTTACTCCAAGACAAAGCAGATGATTTGGACCTCAGTGTCCCCCGGCCTGCTTGTATAATAAAAGCTGTATGCTTTCTAAAGTTCCTCGGTGCCATGTCATCCCTCTGGTCTGATCCTGAGTTCTCCAATAGCGTCTGTGCTTTTCTTGGTGCCAGGTTAGCTAAAAAGGACTCTTCTAGAATGTAGACTGTGTGGCTCAACCTGCCTTGCTTAATTAATTGCTTAATTGCTTAATATCTTCCATGCTTAATTTCCAAAATATTTTTAACTCCTTTATCTCCCTTAATCCTATAACATGACAGTTTTGCCATAGCGAAAAGAGGCCGCCTGCTGCTTGCTGATGACATGGGCCTGGGGAAGACCATCCAAGCCATCTGTATAGCTGCCTTCTACCGGAAGGAGTGGCCCCTCCTGGTGGTGGTGCCGTCCTCTGTGCGCTTCACCTGGGAGCAGGTTGGTTCTCTTTGTGTTGAAATTTGAGAAAGAAGGTATTTCTCAGGGGTAGAGTAACAATATAGTGGTTTTGAGACAGGGCCTAAGATCTTTAAAGGTTCTGTAAGGTAGTGGCTAGAAGAGAGATGAGCTGGGGGGCAACCTGGTCGTTTTCTGACTTGGGAGAAAGCCCAGGAGTCGCCAGCCTAGGGACTTTGTGAGTCCATCATGGGCACTTTCAGTTCCTCTGTACCCTGTATCTACCATGCTTAATTTCCAAAATATTTTTAACTCCTTTATCTCCCTTAATCCCATAACATGACAGTGAGCCCCTTTACAGATGAGGAGATTGAAGATGAAAGGGATTAAGTGCTGTGCCTTCTGCTGGTGAGAACCAGGGTGAGACTTGAGATGTCCTCGTGGCTTCTGGGCTCAGCGTTTGCATCTGTAGAGGGTAGGGTATTCACTGAAAACCTGGAGCTGAAGAACCTGACCTGAACTTTGAGGAATCAAATCCCATACGCAAACTTTGGAGGAGGACCTGGCCCTCTACCTGGCTTTATGCTACTGGTATCGGCCTCCCTCTTCTTCACAGCTTGACTTCTTCCTAAGACCTCTGTGAGTCATGATGGAGAGGAGGTAGCTGTGCCTGCTGGTCAGTCTGCTGCCCAGATGTGCTGTTCTAACCAAAGGGAAGGCGAAAAACCTTACAAGAATGTGCGTGGAAAAAATACCTTATTCTTTTCCTATCCTCGGGATCTGACTTCTGCCATTCTCTGTAGAAAGCAGTCATTGGCTACATACCTTGTGTGCATTAGATTCCCTCAGCACCGCCAAACTCCAGGGAAGAGTCAAGTAGATGGTTGCAGCTGAGACTGAGAGAAGGCCCACACTCCCAGCGGCAGAGAGCAGAGCCCCGGCCAGGCAGAGGAGGGGAGCTATGGAGGCACAGGCGGCCACCCACTGTCTCCAGGGACCAGGTTTCAGTAGTTGCTGTAGTGAGTGCCTTTGTAGAACATTGGCTTAAATATTTTCATCATCACCAATGAATGCCATTCACCTTCATTCCACCACGCTCTTTATAAAATTCTTCCCCAACAGAAGCTTGTCTATTTAGAGATCACAGAGATGCAGTCCACAGACACCACTAAGAGCCTGCTAACAAAAGGAGGGGACTGTCTGGTCAATGGCGAGGAAAGGGACAGGGGAGAGAGGTGTGGAGATGACAAGGATTTGGGCAGATACAGGAGGATGTGGAAGGAGAGAGACTTGAGTTTGTTTTTCAGGGAATATTAAATGGTCCACATTGAGAGAGTGCTGTTTGTGGGTTGGCTGGGGTCACAGCCGGCCAGTTAGTGTTTTGTTGTCTCCTGTCACCCACAGGCCTTCCTCCAGTGGCTTCCGTCTCTGAGGCCAGAAAATATCAACGTGGTAGTGAATGGAAAGGGCTGCCTGACAGCTGGCTTGGTCAACATAGTCAGTTTTGATCTTCTGAGCAAGTTGGAAAGACAGCTAAAAGCCACTTTCAAAGTCGTCATCATTGTAAGTGACTGGCAAAATCTAGAAGTACTTTATATGTCTGTGGAAACTCTTAGAAGCTCCAAGAACTTTGGTATCTGTGATCCCCCTGAGGCGCTCTTGGTTTTAAGGAATTGAAATTGCTGTGTTTATTTTATGGGGAATTGGCATTTCACTTCTCCCACGTTGCGCTTCTCAGCCCTGGCTGTGTATTAGCATCTTCTGGGGAGCTTTTTAAGACTGTGGATGAATGAGTCTGCTGGAGTTTCTGGCCCATCTTTTCTGCAGCATGAGGCCACAGCTGGAAGCCTGCACATAGACCCAGCAACCCCTGGGGCTCCAGGGACTGCAGCCTTGACAGCACATGTGTGTGTCTACACCAGTGCCACCTTGTCAGAGGGGCTCAGGCATATACTTCAACAGTTAGTAATGTTCATGTCAACCGATATGAAGATATCCCAGATCCCAAAAAAATGTGCGCTTTTTACTTGAGTTGATCATTAGAGGAGGCTTCACTGGAGCCCTGACCCCAGGTCCAACAGCACCCCTTTGAATCACTGGCTTCCTTCCTGAGGAAGGTCTGGGCAGACATGGTGCCCAGCCAGCTCTGCCAGTACGTAGTGTGTTGACAGAGCTTCCCAGTAAAATGTCACGGGAGCCCAGGAAAGGGGAGATGACACATTTGCTGACCTCAGGGGATCCCTTAGCATGTTCTGGACATGAGAACCACACTGTGTTCTCAGCATATGCAAATGGAAGTGTTTATATTTTCTCAAAGCTATCCGGGTAGCAAGTCTTTGGGGAAGTCATTTCTTGGCACAAATTCAAGTGTGGCTTTAAAAAGTGCCAGCATTGAAGTGAAATGAAAACATTCAGAGAATATCCCAGGGCGGATGGTGATGGGCCCAGGGTGTAGGGAGAGTAATCTGTGTCTTCACTTTTTTTATATTCCTGCATTAGGAACTTTGTGTATAACCACGGATCTTCCCTGTGCCCCTTCTGAGCTGTGTTATCTTTTGTTCTTATGAGTTAACCCACTTCACAGCTGATGATAAGAGTGGCAGTGGGAGCAGGCCCCTCTTTTGCTTACAGATGCAGAGCCCGCCAGAGAAGCATTGATTAAAGCTCTTTGTGTCTTGCTTCAGAATCCGTGTTTTCCTGTTTCTGCCGTGTGGATTTTGGCAAGCTGCTTACCACCAGCGTTAGTTTGTTCTTTGGTAAAGTCAAAGTTGTTTGGTAAAGTCCTCTTCTGACTTCAAAATCTGTAGGCAGGAACAAAGTGGCAGCTCTGAGACGGCACACCTCTCAGGAGGCTTCAGTTTCAAGCCATTGTCATGATGTGTTCCAACACTGCTATGCTGTTGCCCACTGGTCATATCCTTGGACTGTCCGCATTTTCTCTATAAATTCCATTTCCCTGACTGTCATAAGGACGTGTTGTGAAAAAAGAGCACGGATGTAACATCTGAGGTCTGCAGGCTGGAGATTGGCTTGACATCACACACACCCTCCATTGTTCTCCGCAGGTCCTTGTTCATCATAGCTGAAGTGGAATGGAGTTCTTATAGATTCTTTTCAGGGACAAAGCCAGGATGTCTCATAGGTGGCTGATAATGTGGAATGCTTACAGAGAGGCAGGACTGGGCTAAGCGCTACTTGTGGGTAATTCTGTTTCAGACTTGGAGCAGCCTGATGGGTTAGGAAGTGTCATACCCATTTGATAAATGGAGAACCTGGCACCACTGGGAGGTCAGTTAAGGACTCAGAGTCACATGGCAAGGAGTTGGAGTGTGTGCTAACCTAGATATTTCCCCCCAGCTCCTGTGAATGTATTAGTTACTAATTTGGCTTTAGATAATATGACAGATTCTTTGTTTATCCACAGAATGCAGAGCTGACAATCAAGCTCCATGTTCTAGACCTAACAGTCCCGGAGGGCAGGGCCATGCTGCCCTTCAGTTGCCATAGCATTTCACTTATTCCCACTGCAGTGGCAGTAGGGTGTCTGACCAGTGTCGGTATGCCTGACTTCCTTACTGCACAGCGACCCCGAGGGCAGGCCCTGGACCCCACAGCTTTGTGCCAGTGCAGGGCACACAGCTGGTCTGAAGCACACTTGCCTCTGCTGCCACGCAGATGCAAGATGCTGCTTACAAAGCATGAACCACCTTTCAGTGGTTTGTTCCCCCATAGACAGCCTCTGAGAGGGGCAGAGTGGGGAACTCATGAACCAACTGTCTGTGCAGAAAACTGTCCCTGGAGCAATGAAACAACTTGCCCA